AAGAAATGTGAGGTCAAAGGAATGGTCAAGGTCAAAAAATGTTGATGCAGTTGAATAGCTTGCATCAGTATGTATCAACATATGAAGTTTGATTACACTATCTAGAATGGTATCTTTTAAAATGAGCTAAACAATAATTTAAGAAAAGTGAGGTCATGGTCAAATGAAAGGTCAAGGTAAAAAAAAATGTTGATGCAGTTTAATAGCTTTCATCAGTATGTATCAACATATGAAGTTTGATTACACTATCTTGAATGGTATCTTTCAAACCTAGCTAAACACTAATTTAAGAAAAGTGAGGTCAAGGTCAAAAATGTTGATGCAGGTCCATAGCTCTTATCAATATCTATCAGCATGTGAAGTTTGATAAAATATCTTGGATAGTTTCTTTGAAACTAAGCTTTGAACAGAGCTAAAAGCAAACTGTGACGGAAGGGCAGACGGAAGGTTGGAAGACGAACATGACAAACACTATATGCCCCAGCCATATTCATGGCGGGGCATAAAAATCCTTGAAATAAGTAATGTCACGAGTGACATACCTTAAGAAGGATAGAAATGGATATTCAGCGACGTGATTTACACCCAAGACTTAATGTCTAGAGAGATTTTATTTAGTTTAGGGTATTTCCGTACGTACTTCTGTTTGTCTGTAAAACATTTTCGATCAACTGAAGCTAGGGCTTTCATTTTTTTCATGAAGACCTTTCTTGGGGTACCAAAGATTTGGACTTTCGAGTTAGACCAATTTTTTCCCAAACATTTTACCAAACTTTAATCTTGGCCATTAATTTTGAACGGTTGGTGTTAGGGCTTTCATACTTCACATGTTAATTCGTTGTGATAAGACCTTTCATTTGGTACTAATATGTTTGTCCTTGACCCTGGGAGTTTGATCTACTTTTGAAATGCTTTTATCTTGACCTAACGTTTTTGAATGGTTGGAACTAGGGCTTTCATATTTCACATGTGTATTCCTTCTGACAAGATCCCCCCTTGGGGGGTGTTGCTAAAACGCGGAACGGAAAACGGAAAATATGATTCAAGGTTAAATCACTTAAGATATATAAATAATACCAGAAACAGTATACATCATATAAATTTTTCATATTTAATCCTTAATTATTAAAATACGAGTTGATTTAGTCATGTTCATTCTCTTATTTATGAAGATGTCTGAACATAGACAAAGCACAGGGTACGGAAAACGGAACAGAAAATATCTAATGCTGTACATACAGATGTATCATGTTGTGGTAAAATATGGATACGTTGGAGAAATTTATTGAAGATCACTCTGATTAATATGAACGGCAGGTACTCGATATCCTTATGAGCCATATGAGCGAAAAATTCCATAATTTTCAATGCATATGTACCCATGCTCCTTAAGTGTGGATAACGTACATCTCTGTAACCCCCGCCCCTCCCCCCCCCCCCAATACTTAAATATAAATAACAACTCTATATTTTTTTGCGAAAATATGTAATTTCCCCATCAATTTCATTTTGACGTTATTCCGTGTAATCAATTTAAGCTATTTTGCACTATTTGGTCATTTATACATGTATGCTATCTTTCTTCAATCTCCGTTTCAGGTCCCTGTGGATTTCATCAACACTCCTGTAGTTGTAATAAACTTTTTTTTAAAAATTGTTTTCTTAATGCCAGTGATCGTTTTCTCTAACACAAATGTATATACATGTATACTCTGTCTTTCATAATCAATACTGACAATTTTGTCTTTGACGAATAAGCCATTTTTTAAAACTCAGATTTGGATGAGTGATAAGCATGCACGGATCCAGGAATTTTTTTACCGGGGGGGGGGGAGGGGTTCACCTCAGTCAAATATAAAAATAGAAATTTCTTGACAAGCAAAAACAACAACAACAAAAGCAAAAAACAAAACAAAACAAAAAAAACCCGTAAACTCCCTTTCCCAACGGTGACAATCTCATTAAAATTAGATGTTCAGAATCCGTTTGAGAAGCGGTATCGTTTTCGGAACATCTAATTTTAATTAGATTGCAAACGTGAAAAACCTATTTCGTGGGGGTGGGGGTGGGGGTTAGTCGTTGACTTCTAAAGCTTCATCCTATGACCTTTCAGACCTAGATCCGCGTTTTCGAGGAGGGGGGGGCGTTTTCTAGAGGGGGGGGGCACATGGTCACTTTTAATCGGTTTGGTTTCTAGATGATATAACTGCAAATTTCACTGGGGGGGGGGGTCCGGACCCCCACCCTCTAGATCCGCGCATGATAAGTGAGACATTCTGATAGATAATTGGGATGCAGTCTAATTAGTGTGTATTTTATTGACAAATGCATGTATATGCTAATGTTCTGAGGAAAAAAAAATCATAAATAAATCACATTGTTACGGTAACTATTAATTATATGTAGATATGAACTACATGTATTAGATAAAGAAAATTGCTCCCTATGTCTGAATTGAAAAACTTGACATTAAATTTTCCGTTTTCCGTTCCGTTCCGCGTTTTAGCAACCCCCCCCCCCCCCCTTGGGTACCAATAATATTAAGACTTGATTTGATCTTGATCTTAGAGTTTCATTCACTTTTGAAAGAAAAATAACTCTAACCTTGGCCATAACTATTGAATATTTGGAATTAATGGACAGGTAACAGACAGCTTGTTTGATAACAGAGTAGCTACTTGTAGCCCTGTACAACTTATTTGACGCCTCCGGGATTAAGTCCCTATGTGGTCATATATTGAAAAATTTTCTTAAATCCTGAAATTATTATGAAAATGGCTAAATAGTTTTCACTAAAGATTTGCTGCATTATTACCAGTTTCGGCCCAAGTGCTTATAGTCTAAGAAATTCAAATGAAGGTCTAGACCCATGGTTCATGGTAAGTCTAAAAATTATCTCACCTGTGTAAAATGCAAGCATAGCCAGACACAATCCAGTTTCTGACTAAATTGGGTCCGTCCCCGCATTTTTATACCCCTGTATCCGCACACCTCCATATTTGTAATTCCTTCAAAATTTGCAATAATAACTTTATATTTGAATTTGAATAATTATTATTCTGTCCTCCAACACTCTTTAATTTCCTAATGCACATTAAAATATAATTTCCAATCTTTAAATTTTATATGTTGTAACTAATTCATACCAACAGCTGACCTATGGTCACTACAATACTATTGGTTGTCCCTTCATCCTAACCAATGTAACTTTTGATAAACGATTAAACAACTGCATTCTAATGAATCGTTTTCTTGGAACCGTCCAGGTGAAAAGATCAACCCCCTCGTGGCCAACGGTTATGTATATTTTTATTCTCTCTAGAGTAAGCATCTGCTCTCTCTTTTAGCCAAATACATAATAATATTTTACATCCTTATTAGCTCTACTGGTCAGAGACCAGAAGAGCTTATGCGATAATAAAGTGTCCGTCGTCCGTCCGTCTGTCTGTCTGTCCGTCCGTCTGTAAACAATTTCTCAAAACGCTACTTCTCCTACAGTTTTAGTCTGATTTCAATATAACTTAGCACACAAGTAGACTACACTAAGATACATAATTCTGTGTATCGGTTTTTGATTTCGATGAACGGTGTTACCATGGTTACTAAAAATAGAGATTTCTGGGAAGAACATTAAAACGCTACTCCTCCTACAGTTTTGGTCCGATTTCAATGTAACTTAGCACAAAAGTAGACTACACTAAGATACATAATTCTATGTATCGGTATTTGATTGAGATGAACGGTGTTGCCATAGTTACTAAAAATAGATATTTCCTTGAAATACATTCAAAACGCTTCTCCTCCTACAGTTTTGATCTGATTTCAGTATAACTTAGCACACAAGTAGACTACACTATGATACATAATCTTGTGTATCGGTTTTTGATTTCGATGAACGGTGTTGCCATGGTTACTAAAAATAGAAATTTCCTTGAAATATTTTTAAAACACTACTCCTCCTACAGTTTTGGTCCGATTTAAGTTTTACTTAGCACTCAATTAGACTACACTATGATACATAATTCTATATATCGGTTTTTGATTTTGATGAACGGTGTTGCCATGGTTACTAAAAATAGAAATTTCCTTGAAATACTTAAAAATGCTACTCCTCCTACAGTTTTGATCTGATTTCAATATAACTTAGCACACAAGTAGACTACACTAAGACACATAATGTGTATATCGGTTTTTGATTTCGATGAACGGTGTTGCCGTGGTTACTAAAAATAGAAATTTCCTTGAAATACTTAAAAAATGCTACTCCTCCTACAGTTTTGATCTGATTTCATTATAACTTAGCACAGAGGTAGACTAGACTATGATACATAATTCTATGTATCGATTTTTGATTTCAATGAACGGTGTTGCCATGGTTACTAAAAACAGAAATTTCTGTGAAACTCTTAAAACCCTATTCCTCCTACAGTTTTGGTATGATTTCAGTATAACTTGACACACAAGTAGACTACACTATGATAGAAAATTGTCTTTATTGTGTTTTGATTTGGTTGAATGATGTTGTCATGGTTACTAAAATTGAAATTTCTGTAAAATTCTTTTAAAAGACTAATCCTCCCATAGATTTAGTCTGATTGCAGTAAATCTTAATACTGCAAAAATCTCAATAAAACAAAAAGAGACTACAACAAAGATCATTACTCTAGTTATTGCTGTTGCAAAGTTTCAAGTCCAAGTGCTACTTTTAAGTACAAACCAGTAGAGCTACAGTCTCATCAGGGACTTCTGGTTTTTATAAAATTTTTGATAATGATAATTATACAAATCTAAAAAAGCAGGTAAGCACTGAACAGGTGTTAATCACAAATTCTGCAGTTGTGAAGAAGAACGTTCCGCCTTCAAAGTATAAATATTTCAATTTTGTTTTGCAGCATATCTTGCTATAATAAGAATTGACAAGGCAACAAAGAACAACATCGAGTTCAAATCTGAGCTATTGAGACAGTGATTATATACATTTTAGTCGATTTTTCTTCCAGGAAAAATTAGAGCCAAACCAATATCTGGAGAAATTGCTGTGTTTTTCAACGATCAAAAGACCAACGATTTCAACGCTTTGGTCAAAACTATTACAGGTTCTCCTTATCTTGTCATATGCATGTGAATGTTTTATTTGATGATTATAAGATGGTTATTATGCAAAACACTTGTTTCATTAAATACCTAACGAAATCAAGTCAGATGCAAGCTTAACAGCCATTCTTTATATATATATATATATATATATATATATATATATATATATATATATATATATATATATATATCCAAATTATATTTGCAATTTGAGATTTCAGCTGAAATGCATTTGAATTTTTAAAGTAGCCTTTTCGGTACATAGAATCAAACAAAATTACCCACTTCTGAAGCTGAAAAATAGAAATTCCGTAAACCTCGCTGCCCTGTTTGTGATATTTGGATTCGGATGATGAAAACTATTTTACGCTTGTATTGCAGTGTTATTTGTTTTGTTTTTCTTTTATAATGTGAGCTTTATTATATTGAATTGTTTTTTATGTTTTGAGTTTTTTTTCAAGCTGCAGAAATACATATTTGCTGTTTTAGTTTTCAAAGAAGAAATGAATGATCCTCTCCTCCGAATTTTCATCAATCCTAGCAATGCATATGGGCGCTGCCTTCCGGAATCCAGTGTCGACATTGGCATTAGCACATTCATGGTGCACTGGCTATCCACGTATGTTATTAAATGTAATTGATAGAGCCATAAAAGATCGCTTGTTTATCTATGTAAATAAATGCAGTCGCTCTTCATTTAACTTGTGTACCTTAAATATTTCCAATCCTTTAGCTCACTTTAATTAATACGACTGAAAAAACTGGGGGGGGGGACTTCTAATCATTTACACTTATTGTAAAGGGGGAAACACGGGACGAATTCCCCCCCCCCCCCCCAAAATTATTTCATAATCTTGAAACATTTGCTTACTAGCTCACAGTCCCCAGATTACTATACCTGATATAATTATGTGGTATTTCTAATTATAAGTTACATATACCAACAACATATTTAGCGGCTTTATTTTTAAACTCAACAATGTACATGTAAATAATGCATTTCCGTGAAAAATTTGTTCAATCGTATCTCTTTTTACACTAGTGAAGAACATGTTTGTATAGCTGTAGAGGCGGACGTTTTATTATGTTTTAACCCGAAAGGAACTACAAGAGAAGTAAACTTACGATCCGGGGTTAATTAAGGAATCACTGTCTAGTAGTAAACGATTTCGCCCGTTATGCAAATTATTCCACGTTTCCAACTATCGTTGATGCCCTGGCATACTCTACTAAATAGACAGTGATTCCTTATATTTCCATTTCATTGTGAAATAAAATTGTAAATTTAGATTTTAAAAACGTAGACTAATAGATTTAAATTACACGAGGCCTCGCATATCAATTTCAATAGACCCCGCCCACTGACATCAAACACATAGACAGCAGCACGAGAATTACATGCATTTTAGGCCTCCTCAGCGTCAGACACAAAGACAGCCGCACGATAATTACATGCATATTAGGCCTTCTTAGCTCCTGACCTTTCGCTCGGTGAAATTTACATTCCGGTAGAATGATCAAGAAATCAACTCAACTAACTTTCAAAGTGTTATCACAGAGAAAACAAATAGAACTGGAAATATTAAAAGATCAACTTAAAAAGGTTGAATGATTATGCACATACCGTGCTATGCAACTGTTCGCTGAAGTTCAAACACCGTCTCTTTATCTGTTATCTATGAATGATCAGAATCTAATTTGTTTAAATAATGTTAAAATACTCAGATCATATTCATGGAAATTCCTTATCGAACACGATTTTGAATTTTGTAATTTATAAGTCAGTCATTATCAAAATCCGCAGAAATAAAATCTCAGGAAAATCAACAAATTTATCATATCTGAAGAACATAAAAACACGGAACTCCCACCTAGAAATTATTTGATTACAGAGTAAGAAGAGATCAAAGATCTGATTCTCCTAAAAATGTTGTCCTTCCTGTTAAGATAAAATAATACAAGTTTCGCTATTAAGAAGTGCAAAAATAATTATAAAATTTGTTCAAACTAGAATGTGAAAGAATGACAAAAAAAAAAGAACCGGTAATAGTTTTTCATTGAAACAGAAGTCACAGTGACATAATTTTTGACGATTTTGAAACTGATCAACATTATGTTTAATAGTTTTACCATTTGACAGTTATAACTAGAATTATTACTGAATTACATGTTCAATACAAAACAAAACTGGATTTACATTTAGAAAAAAAGCTTGCTTATGCATATATGTCTTTTCTATAACAATCCCTGCCTTTCCTGTTACAATCTTATATTAAGAAATCCTTTACTATAAAGAATTATCTTTTTTAAATTGATTTGTTTGTTTGTATGTTGTTTAACGTCCCTCTCGAGAATTTTTCACTCATATGGAGACGTCACCACTTGCCGGTGGAGAGCTGCAAATTTTGTCCTATACTCGGCACTTACGACCATTGAGCAGGGAGGGGGTCTTTTTCGTGCCAGCACCTACTGCGACACGGGACCTCGGTTTATCCGGTCTCATCCGAAGGACCGGTCTCCACGTCCCACAAAGGGATTTTTTTAATTGAAAAAAAAAAAGAACAAAAAATAGAAGGAATATTATGAAGTATTAATATGATAATAATATGACAAATTAAAGTCGACATTTTTTTTTCTGATTTTAGGAAAATGTATCCACCTGTTACAATATGACTGTTACAGTGTATGTCTTTCCTGTTACAAAATCACTTTTAATGTTTTAACATATATATTTGAACCAATTTTCCTCACTCAGGGTGTATTCATTTTATGTGCTACTTCATAAAAAAACTGTACGAAAATTAATTGCTAGATTAATGACAAGGTAGGTCTCAGATCTTCATTTTATGTAGTATTAGTTTTTCCTGTAATTAAAATTCTCTTCACTGTTAATAAATGTACACGTAACAGGATGGACAACAACAGGATAGATTGATTGATTGTATGTTTTTTTTAAGTCACCTGAGTCACTCAGGTGACCTATTGCTATCCGTTTTTGTCCGTCGGCGTGCGTCGTGCGATGTGCGTTAACATTTGAACATTTTTAGCTTCTTCTCTGAAACCGCTCAGCCAATTTCAACTAAATTTGGTGAAGGGGAACAAAAATTGTGAATTTCATGGTCCCTGCCCCCCTGGGGCCTGAGGGGTGGGGCTAAAACCACCAAAATTAATGCAATCTTTAAAAATCTTCTCCTTTACTCCTGGACATCAAGCAGTCAAACTGTTGGCATCATTGTGATAAGCATTGAGTCCCCTACCAAAATTGTGAAATTCATGGGTCAGGGGTTCTGGTGCTAGGGCGGGGCTATATAGATCATATAGTGAAAGTGCATTATTTCTTTGAAAATCTTCTTCTCAGCTCCTGGGTATTAAATAAACTAACTACATGTAAGTATATAGTTATGATGAGCAAGAGTGACTCTTCCAAAATTGTGAAATTCATGGCCCCAGGGGCAGGGGTTCTGGTGTTAGGGTGGGGCTCTATTGATTATATAGTGAAAATGCATTAATTCATTGAAAATATTCTTCTCTGCTCCTGGGTATTAAATAAACTAACTAAGTATATAGCTATAATGAGTAAGAGTGCCTCTTTCAAAATTGTGAAATTCATGACCCCAGGGGCAGGGGTTCTGGTGTTAGGGCGGGGTTTATTGATTATATAGTGAAAATGCATTAATTCATTGAAAATCTTCTTCTCTGCTCCTGGGTATAAAATAAACTAACTAAGTATATAGTTAGGATGAGCAAGAGTGCCTCTTCAAAAATTGTGAAATTCATGGCCCCTGGGTCAGGGGTTCTGGTGTTAGGGCGGGGCTCTATTGATTATATAGTGAAAATGCATTAATCCTTTGAAAATCTTCTTCTCTGCTCCTGGGTATTAAATTCAGTAACTAAGTACATAGTTATGATGAGCAAGAGTGCCTCTTTCAAAATTGTGAATTTCATGGCCCCTGGGTCAGGGGTTCTGGTGTTAGGGTGGGGCTCTATTGATTATATAGTGAAAATGCATTAATCCTTTGAAAATCTTCTTCTCTACTCCTGGGTATTATTGAAACATATTAAATACATAGTTATGATAATCAAGGATGCCTCTTTCAAAATTGTGAAATTCGTGACCCCTGGATTAGGGGTTATGGTGTTAGGGCGGGGCTCTATTGATTATAAAGTGAAAATGTTTTAATTCTTTAAAAATCTTTTTCTCTGCACCTGGGTATTATTTAAACAAACTAAATACATTTTTATGATAAGCAAGGATGCCTCTTCCAAAATTGTGAAATTCATGGCCCTGGGGACAGGAGTTCTGGTGCTAGGGCGGGGCTATATAGATCCTATAGTGAAGGTGAATTATTTCTTTGAAAATCTTCTCTGCCCTTGGGTATTGCTTAAACAGGCTAAAGTACATTGTTATGATACGCAAGGATGCCTCTACCCAAAATTGTGAATTTTATGACCCCATGTTTAAGGGTTCTGGTGAAGGGGGGGGGGGGGCTTCTATTGATTATAAAGTGAAAAAGCAAAATTTCTTTGAAAATATTCTTTTCTTCTTCTGGTTAAAAAAGCAAAGAAGCTAAGTGTATAGTTATGATGAGCAAGTGTGCTTCTTCCAGAGTAGTGAATTTCATGACCCCTGGGTCAGATGTGCTGGTGTGAGGGTGGGGCTCTTGATAATGTAGTGAAAATGCATTAATTTTATTAAATAATCCTGTTTGCTCCTTAGTGTTAAGCAGATAAACAAAGTGATGATGAGCAAACATATGGTCCCAGGGTCAGAAGCTCTGGTGTTTTTTGGGGGGGGTTGGGGGGGGGGGGGGGGCTCTATTGATAATATAGTGAATCTGTTGTAAAAATGCATTATTTATTTAAAAATCTTCTCCGCACCTGGGCATATCTGAGGCAAACAGAGTAAAAGTTTTTATAAGGAAGGGAATTTTTACCAGATTTTTGAACATCTGGACCATTTGGTCAAGTGTTCTGGTCCTGGCCAGGGCTCTATTAGTTTGTATTCTACTGAGAGGAGTTATTCCCCTTTACCATTTACTTTTGATAATTTATCACTGTAAATAATGTACTTGAAAGGTAAATAGAATAAGAGAATTTTGCAAAAACTTTTATTGTATAATACAAAAAGTACTTTCATAGTTTTAATGATCAGATAGACTTGTAAGTAGTAGATAAATAAAAATGAGACAAAAATAACTTGTCTTATTAAATATTCATCAAAGACCAAGAGATGCTAATGTAAGAGATTTCAACAAAGGATTAAAATAGTACAGAAGCATTGATAATTTGTTAATATACTGTATAGTGATAAATGGGAAACAGATTAGAATCTAATTTATGAACTGTTAATGAATATTAAGACCAATTATTTTGTTGATCATGATCACCCTATTTTTCTTGCTTTTGGGCAACAAAGCTTCACCTTTCAGTTCATTTTATACTCTATGCATCCTTGAAATTGTTTTATCATACTCAGGTGACCGTTAAGGCCCTTGGGCCTCTTGTTTACAATTACATATTTTTTTTTTTTTTTTTTCCGTTATTGCTTACCATACAAGTTGATGATGCAGTAGTTTTGAAACAAAATTTTGAAATTATTTTGTAAGAAAAGTAACAATT